AAGTTAATTATATATTTATTATTATTTCTCTAATTATTTATGCTATATCTATTAGACATGACCTTGAGTTATTATTTACTGCTATATTTAGCAAATTGTATTCTTCCTACTAGTGTTCTGCCAACATTGTCTAAAATGACACTTTACTGCTATCTTAGTTCAATGTGAATCGCAGAAACATTTCACAGGTGATTTGCTGATGTTTTGGGTTTCCAGTTCAATTCAATTGCTTTCCCATTCATGGGACATTTTTCATATCTTTGGTATTGCAAAAATCTTGCCAAAGTCATGATATATTGGGGACGGTGTTACAAGCTTGTTTTTATACTCTAAAGCTTAGTGATATATTGGTCTTTAACTAATAAGTTTTGATTTATGTCGTGACCCCATTCTCAAAACAATCTCCTTTATTTTCCCTCTTTTTTGTGTTTATTTGAGTTAAATTTATATTTAAGTTGATGATTTAATTCCAACTTGAGATGAAGAAGATGAAATCTTTACAATGAGGGAAAACAGGCCAATTAGTTGAACTGTGAAGGAATATTTTTGCATCAACACAAATGTTCTAAAATGTATTAAAGGGATTTGTGATGATTAATTGTATTAATTCTTCCCCATGTTCCAAACATAATGCAAACTTCCTACCTAGCCGTTCAGATAGTATACATTTCTTAATGATTCTAGAGAACAATTCTCTGTTTATGTGTAACACATGTTGAATAATTGTCTGAATCACAACAAGATGAACTATATTATTGCAAAGTGGGGAAAGCACAAGATGTTTCACAAAAATTCTTGTTCTTTACTATGTTGCACTTTTCTGTCTAAATATGTAAAAATGGGAGGATTTAAATACAATAAAACTGATTTATTTTCATTTGCAAGAATGCAGGAGTGAAGTGGTAGCCTACTTATCTTTTGGAGCTGCAACAATGGTTCAAAGATTTGTTATTAACAACACTAATTATCATTGATTTATTTTGGATAACTATTCTAATTTTCATTATGGATTGTGTTGAGACTTGAGATATTAACACATAATTTTAGTATTTTCTACTTTGGATTAAATATTGTGTTTTAGTTTTGGTATCAGTTTTTCTAATTGATGTCGTATGCTACTTTTTACTTGTTAAAATCAATTTTTTTGGATGTTCAGTAGGCTGATTATGCTCTTTATGTCAATGCTTTATACAGAATCGTCCAAGAAGTTTAGTGTTGTAAATTTTCAGTATAAAACGGTAAGGGTTACATACCGTACCGAATTTTCGGTATACCGAAATTTTCGGTATGGTAACGGTATGACATTAACAATACCGGATTTTTGGTACGGTATGCGGTATGGCGTAGAAATTTCGGTATGTCATACCGAACCAACCCTAGATCTCATTGATAGTTTGATATTGTTATTTTAATGAAAGGTTAAAAGTCCAGTGCATTTTATACTTCGTCTCTCAAAAAATTTCCAATTTTGGTATTTTGTCCATTTCAATAAAACTTTTTCCCTTTTGATAAAGAAGTTGTGGTTCACAACATTTCTTATACATATATCCTCTTTGCATAATGCTTCACCATATACACACTTTCTTAATCCGTGTGTCATTTGTACAATGAAAGAACAATTAGGGAGCTAGTATTCCTTTATTTTATTCTATTTCAATCCCTAAATTTATATTGAATTTTTTTAGCCAACAAACTTTGTTTAATAACGAAGCAATCTTGAGTTCCCAACAATCAGGGCGCAACCAGAAAAATGACTCAACGGAGTCGAAATCAAATTTACCTAAAATGAAAACGGTAGATTATTTTTAGACAATACCCAAATTCAATGTAGCTTAGATAAATAACAGTTTAAATGAAACTACTAGAATATATATAGTTAATATACTTCGTATATGTCACATATATTATAAACTTGAGTACTTCGGATGAGATCCATTGACTTACCCTAATACTTTATGGTTCTCTTGAATCTTACTCAGTTTAGTATCAAGATTTCTTACCTGAAAAGAATCATTTATTGAGTAGGCTCTCGTAACAGTAAGATATGTTGTCTTTGCTCTGTCCCTAAATCATGTCACGCAATTAAGGAGTGAATTACACGCTATTTTGTGAATATAATTAATATTACGCATCACAATTTTACTAATTACAAACTTAAATAGTGCTGATTTTGCAGAAGGCATAACTTTTTACTCGTAATAAGTTACAAGAGTCATAATATATTAAATTGAAAATAATTCAGAGCTCTGCACTGTTAAATTTTCACCCTAACCTCCCAGTAGCTCCGCCCCTGCCAACAATTAGGTTTCTTATAATTCTTTGTCATGTTATTCAAAATGTATTTAACTTTTTTTTAAAACTTTTCTAATACATATTTTAAAGATGTCCATAACTAATTTTATATTTTTTTAACTCTCATATTAATCTAAAAAATTTATATAAAAAAAATCTAAAAGTTGCTAGTGAAATTATACAATCAACAATATTTTGTCTAAATAGAGTTTGAAAGTTATTGGAAATAAAATAGTGTACAGGGATAAAAAAGCAAAAAATTATCACCTAATATAGATAGTGTAAAAACTTTTTATTAAAAAGACAAATAATTAAGTTTAACAATGTACGGAGTAGGATATTTGATACGTGAAACATGTACTTCCAATTTTTAATGTACTGTAGTACATAAAATGCTCAAGCAAAGAGTTGGCCGTCTCCCTAAGTTTTTCCTTCCACTGACATTTCGTGTGGCATAGTTTACGTTTCAGATATCTTTCTTTGGTATATTTCAGCAAGCAAGTTTTTTTATGTTCAATTTCATTGGTTCGCTGGTGTTAAAAGTTTCACATCCATATATTTGGATTACTGGTTCCATGTGTTGGCGTTGGTGTCTTGGTGTCTTGGTGTCTGGGAAGCATTTGCGTAATGGCGGCACCTTTAAAATTGGGAGATTTCAAATGACACACTTGCAAAAGCAATATGGCAATCTGAATGTGGAGAATGATGAGAAAGAGCTAACGTTTGACATGGTAGACAGTGATACGGACCAGGCCGGCCGCTAGGTTTGCGGTCAAATGGATTGCGCTAAGAGTTTGTATCGGTGCTGGATCAGGCTGCCTTGGTCGGCCGCTCCGTCGGTAGTGGAGTTATTAGTATTCACCCTGATTGCAAGAGCTCATCCTTCGTACAAGGAAGTATAACAAAGATAACAGATGTCTAATAAAGTTCCACATTTGTCTACGAAACGATAAACCTTATATACTCTTTAACATTAAAATTTAAAAATCTTACATTTTTTTGTCTCAAATATATCTACTTTTAATCTGAAGTTGACTAGGTGTACACAAAAGTTGTACATAAAACTTGTAGTGTCTGTCTCAATATTATTAACTTTTATTTTTAGTCCAAGTATGTGGCTTTGGATGTGTGGATTTTTTGTATTGTTTTCGCTTTGGATGCCACATTTCTTCCCGAACGTGTTGCTCCTCTTTTTGTTTCTTCTTCTACCTAATCCTCTATAGTGCTTCATCATTTTTAGTACTTTTCATCATTTGTGCAAATTCTCTATCATCGGCAACGAGAATTAGCTTGGGAAGGTGGCCAACGACGGCAAGGACAACTCAAAATATATTACCACAATGATCATGAAATCACATAGCCATCAATAGCTTTTACATAGACACATTTGTCATTTTCATTTTATTTTAAACACATTAATTTATATTTTGGGCACCTTGTGAGGTTCAGTCACAATTTCATCAATTTCTTCGTCCCATGTACTGAAAAGGCTCAGGCTGGGGCACGGCAGGACACAGGTTGGGACACGGCTGGGCTGGGGCACATGATCGGACACATGTTGGGGTACATTCGGGCAGAGGGACGGTCGGGTCACGGGCCGGGTCGGGGGCCGGGTCGGGGGCCGGGGCGGGGGGCCGGGGCACGGTCGGGGGCCGGGGCACGGTCGGGGGCCGGGTCGGGGGCCGGGTCGGGGGCCGGGTCGGGGGCCGGGTCGGGGGCCGGGTAGGGGGCCGGGGCACGGTCGGGGGTCGGGGGCCGGGGCAGGGTCGGGGGCCGGGGCAGGGTCGGGGGTCGGGGGCCGGGTCGGGGGGCCGGGTCGGGGGCCGGGGCACGGTCGGGGGCCGGGGCACGGTCGGGGGCCGGGGCACGGTCGGGGGCCGGGGCACGGTCGGGGGCCGGGGCACGGTCGGGGGCCGGGGCACGGTCGGGGGCCGGGGCACGGTCGGGGGCCGGGGCACGGTCGGGGGCCGGGGGCACGGTCGGGGGCCGGGGCACGGTCGGGCCGGGGCACGGTCGGGCCGGGGCACGGTCGGGCCGGGGCACGGTCGGGCCGGGGCACGGTCGGGCCGGGGCACGGTCGGGCCGGGGCACGGTCGGGCCGGGGCACGGTCGGGCCGGGGCACGGTCGGGCCGGGGCACGGTCGGGCCGGGGCACGGTCGGGCCGGGGCACGGTCGGGCCGGGGCACGGTCGGGCCGGGGGACGGTGGGGCCGGGGGCGGTCGGGCCGGGGGCGGTCGGGCCGGGGCACGGTCGGGCCGGGGCACGGTCGGGCCGGGGCACGGTCGGGCCGGGGCACGGTCGGGCCGGGGGACGGTCGGGCCGGGGGACGGTCGGGCCGGGGGACGGTCGGGCCGGGGGACGGTCGGGCCGGGTGACGGTCGGGCCGGGGGACGGTCGGGCCGGGGGACGGTCGGGCCGGGGTGACGGTCGGGCCGGGGGCACGGTCGGGCCGGGGCACGGTCGGGCCGGGGGACGGTCGGGCCGGGGTGACGGTCGGGCCGGGGCACGGTCGGGCCGGGGCACGGTCGGGCCGGGCCACGGTCGGGACAGGGCACGGTCGGGCCGGGGGACGGTCGGGCCGGGGGACGGTCGGGCCGGGCACGGTCGGGCCGGGCACGGTCGGGCCGGGGCACGGTCGGGCCGAGGCACGGTCGGGCCGAGGCACGGTCGCGACGGGGCACGGTCGGGACGGGGAGCGGCTGGGACAGGGAAAGGTCGGGCCGGGGAAAGGTCGGGCCGGGGAACTGTCGGGCCGTGGAACGGTGGGGCCGGGCACGGTCCGGTGCCAAGCGGGCCGGGAAACGGGCTGGGACACGGCTTGGGAAACGACTTTTGGCACAGGCTGGGCTTGGGCATGAAATTGGGCACCGGTTGAAGCACGGGTTGGCACATACTGGGGGGACCAACTTTCTTTTGCTGTTTTGCAAAGTCAAGGTTTACAGTTTTCAAATGAGGTTCTTTACTGGGCCTTATTCATAATTTGCAACTAAGGCTTAGTTACTAAGCTGATCATTTAATACAAAGACAGGTAGGTTTAACGTCAATTTAAATTTAAACTGTCGACAGGTTTGACGTACACGGTGACAAAATTTACATGGGAACTCCAATTGTGGTGGTCATTATTGACTCCCTATTTCCAAGGGCTTGGTAAAAAATTAATACACATGAAAAATAATATGTTTTACACATTTATAAATTACAATTATGTTTAATACCAAAATCATAGATGGGTACCTGAATGAAGACAGTGGTACTTGGCATGCAAGGATTGTCATGCGGTATGTAAAAAACGTTGAAATACAGTGGTTAACTAAATGACTTCTAAATCATTTTTTATGGCAAATCCATTCAGTCAGTTTAACCGGCAAAATCATAGAAGTCGACTTGACTGAAGGCTAGTGTTACTTGGCATGTAAGCTTGTAAAGATTGTTCAAGAAAGGGATTGGGATCCTCTGCCCGACTAGGACGGTGCCTTGCACATCGGACGGTTGGGCAGTGGCAAAGCAGGTCTCAAGATTAACGAAAAAGTAGAGCCCAAGACCTCCTTACTTTAGAGTAAGGTAAGGTGCTTTGCTACCTTTCTTTCGGATACGAAGCCTCTACCTTATTTAGAGTAAGGTAAGGTGATTTGCTTCTTCCGGGTCATCCGATCAACAATTTAACGGACTGTTAAATTGTTGATCGGACAACCCGGAAGAAGCAAAGCACCTTATCTTACTCTAAAGTAAGGTAGAGGCTCCGTATCCGAAAGAAAGGTAGCACCAAAGTATGGTCGGTTTGGGTGCCTTCCCAAATTGCAAAAACAATGATTTTGTCATGAGGTATGTAAAAATAGTTGAAATACATCGCGGTTAACTAAATCACTTCTAAATCATTTTTTATGGCAAAAGCATTCAGTTCGACTGGAAAAATACGCAGCTTAAAGGACGAAAACGCAACATTAAGAGATTAAAAGTGCATGGAATTATACCTTGGGTTGGTGGCTGCTACTTGGAACCTGCACTCCCTATACTATAAAAACTAAATAATACAATTAAGGGCACCTCTTACACAGGTCCCAAACCTATTAAATTACAATTTGTCTAATATAAAATTGAAATACTGAAAATAAAAGAATAAATGATGTGGACCTGCAAAATAAAAAAAATAAAAGCGTATTAAACTATATTGTACATGTATTGGAAAGAAGTTAGAAATAAAGCAGTTCATATGCTCCATACTACCAAGCAAGTAAAGCTATAATCAATTAGCCGAATCAGAAAGACAGCTTAGTATTCAGAAAAACAATTATTCAGAAAAAGAGATGCAATGATAGCATTCAAGGTATGTTTTAATAACTCACTATTTAATCTTCATGTACATTTGTTGAAATGTTCTTTATAATATTAAAGTTTTGTTCATGAAGTAGTACATGGAAAAACAGTTCATGAGGTAGGTAGATAGAAAGATGTTCAAAACTTGATGTTCATATGTTGGAACAAGAACAAGATAAAGAACGACTAATAGTTCCAAGATTTTTGTTTTTTAGTCTGTGAAACTTGATAATACTAAAAAACCGAATGATTTTTAGACATCAGTTTCAAAACAGTGTTAATATAGGTCGTGAAAAATCATTCTGTTAAATCAAAATTAATCATTATAAAACGTAAAGACTGACTTAGTTCAATCAATCAAAACTTCAATCTTAAGCATAGCCAAACCAAATAAGATAATAAGGTTATAGAAACACACAAATGCCAAACAACAATGTTGGAGTGACTTTGTGTAGGTTGATTTTTTAATAAAAATATGCCTGGAGTCTAAATCATAATCAAAACGGATAAGATAACATGGAAAAAGAAATAAATAAATAAATAAATAAATAAATAAATAAATAAATAAATAAATAAATAAATAAATAAATAAATAAATAAATAAATAAATAAATAAATAAATAAATAAATAAATAAATAAATAAATAAATGTTATCCAAACAATAATGTTGAAGTGAATTGGTAAAGGTAGACTTTTTAAACCAAAGATGATTCAAAGTTAAAAACTTTTGAAAGAGTATTAAAAATTTAGTCAAAAACATTCCTAATATTACAAAAGCTCAGTGCTTTTATTAATCTGCAAAGTACAAAACAAATCTCATTATACAACAAAGATATAGTTTTAAATCTTGATCTCCTATTAAGTGGACTCTGATAAAATGTAAATTACAAAAAATGGATTTTAAATAGTAGTAGTACCAAGTAAAGCAGAAAGCAAGGGCCATCTACCTTGCACATCCACATTTTTGCCTTGACCGTATTAGTGTTTCAAATATGAACGATAAGTTGAGTACCCTTCTGTCATAAAAAAAAATAAACAATAAAAATAGAAATATTCATTCAATTAACAATGAATAAATAATTGGAAAATTAGTAGTATAACACTAACCTGACTTGCTAAATTTAAGAGTAATCATCTTTAACCACGAATCTTTTAGCTCACTACCTTGGTTGACGAGCTGCCTCCACAAACTCACCAATATAACAGAAAAAACATCAATACTTATTAAAGAATGAGTAATTGAGGATACTGTCAAAGAATTAGACACAAAAAAGTCAAAAACTATGGGGCCTAACCATATGGCAGAAATGGGTGTCCACAGATCTAAGCCCCGTGCCTTCCTTTAGCTGCTCCCATCCTCACCACTTACGGAAATGTTGTTGTATTCATAAAAAAATAAAACAATTAAGATAAGTAAGCCAATTAAAAACAAGCATTAACAAAACATAAAACAATGGAAGAATATAAACTATCGATGTTTATCATCAAATAATACGTCATTGAAAATAAAGTTATATATATTTGCAGATTAGATTAAAAAGGGAAAATACAAAGAGAGTGAAATAATTAGAGTGAAATGCAGGGCATGTTACACAAAAAGTGTAACCATGGTTTGTAAACGTCACGGTTTCAAAAAGTGTTTATATATAGGTTTAATAATGAAGCAAACCAAATGGTTTGTAAACATCATAGTTTCAAAAAGTGTTTATATAGGTTCATCAGGATGAGAAAAAGAGCATAGAACAACGAAAAACCATGCTGTTAATATAGGTTGGTTTTGAAGACCAAAGATGACCTAAAAATTAGAAAGTATTGAAAGTGTTTCAAGAATTTTAGTCATAAACATTAGAGGGTCAAGCAAAATGCTTTAGCATAGTGACACATTCATGATAAGTTGAACAACTAATTATAAGAAATAAAATAAAACATAAAGCATTACAGGAAGTGCTTACTTCTGTCTCACTTTCTGATTCCTCTTAAGATTTGGGTATCTCATTTTCTTCATCTTCAAGTTGATGCTAAATAAATGAAGGAAATGAAAGCAAGCTGAAATAAATTTAAGAAAATCTCATCTTAAAATACCCTTTTATCAGTCATGATGACACAAGTCAAATAAGTAACTAACACACACACACACATTATAATTACCACTTTAAAAGGTTGAGGATGAGTAGAAGTACCAGCTGTTTCAATGATGACGGATGTTGTTGTCAATTTAAAAATGTATAACACTTCTAATATAAAGAAGAATGCACAGTTTAATTAGGCTCTAATTCTATTTCAAATATTGATGTTGAAATCCATTTGTATAGCTTATTTCCTGAAAATGTCATTTAAATTTAAAAGACAGTACGAAACAAATACATACTACAAAAATAAGAAAATGAAGCCTATGAAAATAATTATCAACAAAAGGTAAAACAATGAAGAAATATAAATCCAATAGTAAACAAAGAATTTGCGTTGAAAATAAGATTATTTGTTTACATATTAACAAAGAATTAGACATCAACGAAAATATCAAACAATTAGACTGAAAAAAGTATTCAGGCTTACCATCTGCTAGAAATAAGCGTCCACAGATCTGAAAGCTTTGTGCCTTCGTTAAGCAGCTCCCGTCCTCATATATCACAGAAATGGAGTTGTGTTCATGAACAAGAAAACAATTACAAAGACATTATTCCGGTACAATATGATGACATTGGTATTCAATAAACAAAAAAAAACGGTACAAATGAAAAGGATGAGACGGGAGAGAAGGGGATTGAATGTGCGCTAGAAATCGATGCATCCATAAAACTCACCAATATCCAGTTCATATAAATCATCCATATACATAATAGAAGCAAATAAACAATAATCAACTCACCGCCACCTGTATATATGCAGGAATGTTGACCGGAGACGGAGGATGTCAAGGCTTTTGTTCGTAATACACCCGGCACCTTCTCACCTAATGACCTTACAGTGTTGGAGGATGCCAGTGTTGACTACTGGCGGTGAGTTGAGTGAGGATGGTGAAGTGTGGTCCGTCGGAAACTCTGGAGACTTCCAGAGCTCCTGTGCGGTAGTGTGAGAGTGAAGTGAGCGGTAGTGTGAGAGTGAAGTGGGCGGTAGTGATGTATATATACTCATACACATACCTAATCTAAAATTATAAATGGGCCAATTTGATATGGGCTCTGAATTTATATTTGCATTCCAAATTTGAATTCGTAGAACACAGTGCCCACTTTTTTAAAATTGTATTTACACCTAAAGAGTTGAATTTATAAAAGTATTATAATCAACTACAAAAAATAAAAAAATAAGTTTATCATTATCACTCTCATACATAGAAGTTTCTCAAAAATGTATTCATATAGTGAGTAAAATCATAAGTTATTTATCCTCCGATGTTTTACTTGCAGCATGTTTTGAATTTTAGATTATTTACATGTTCTATTTTGACTATATTTTTAATTAACAAATAACTATTTTCAGGTTTCTCACTTATTTTTTTGTGTATATGCTTGACATAGTATGTTCAGATCTATTATTTATTTTTCAAATATAAATAGAAGTCATTAATATTACGATAAGTATATATGGATTGTAATGTTATGTAGATGGGGTAGATAATATGAGAGTAAAGTGTATAACACTGGAGAGTCATTTTAATGCTCCATCACGAAGTGGAGTATCTACAAGTGATGGTCATGACTATCATTCCACATATGCTCCCCTTAATGAAATTAGTAATGGTATGTTACATATTTCTGTTATAAGAAGAAATTCTAAAGCTTACAATGTTTTGATTTGGAGAATATATATCACTACTCTTTTCACTTCATATATTTTGCTGAGTCATTTTTTAGATGTTCTGAATTTTCTTCACCTAGATCTAAATTCTTATTCTCAAAGGCAAAAATATGATTAATTTGTAGATGATTCTAAAATGATTATTTGCAATATTTTGATTTTGAGAATATATATCACTATTCTTTTCACTTCATGTATTTTGATATATCTAAGATACTAGCGATTACTCACGCAAGGCGCGAAAGTGTTTGCCCAATATTAAAATTATATTGCCTTTTGTAATAAAAAGTGTCATATGCAAAATTGTTAGGAGAGTTTAGTAAATAGCTAATGAAATTGTACATATCGAACCCTTTTGGTGACTCTGTTTTTCGGCTTATCAGACTTATCATACAACTTTTTAACCAGACACG